TATTCGAAATCAGCGTGTTTGATAACGTTGATCTCAGCAACGTACTAACGATGTTTTACTCATGAATCTTTACATTGAGATCTTACGCTTCGCTGCGCAATAGTTTAACTCAGTTCACCTTCTAATCTTCAATGAATGGTAGCTTTTTTCGGTTTTATCATTTTTCCTTCTGCGTGCACATAGAAATAGTTATAGAAAGCGAGAAAAGAATAAATTTATAGTTTTTTTTTATTCAATTATTCTATGCCCATGTGAAGGACTACTCAATTTCAATTTGGGACATAATCTGTCATTTTGACGAACTAAAATAAAATTAATCAAAGAGCACTTATTTCTACCTTTTACACTAATTTGTAGCACACGAGTTGTACTCTCTGTCGAACTATTTTTTAGAAAAGGGTACCGTTTAAATTTTGAATTATAAAACTGCCAATATTGCTGCTCAACATAAGAATAATTTATTTTCTACCAGGACTTTCTAATTTTCTCATCGCATCATGGTAACGAGATAGCATGTCACGGATATATCTAAACTTTCCATGGTCTAAAGCATAGAAATGTGAATATCAAATTTAATGTAGAAAAAAATGACTTTGTTTTGACTAACTCATTTTCTTCTACTATTTGAATTTCTTTTAACTTGTTTTAATGAGCATAAAAGTTAAACTTTGATATGATGTACGTTTAAAAAGCATTTCTCATGATTGCAAAACGATTATCAGTGACTCTAAAAATCAAAGGTCTCGGTTCAGTTTTACTTGTTCTTTAATCGTACATTTCATCATTCTGGTTCTTTTCGACTGTACGTGACATGCATATAATCTCTTCTTGCTTTACCTTGTGTTGTACAGGAACTTATTTTTCAAGGAATACGATGTAAATTAAACAAATTTGAATTCAACCTTCAACAAGTAGTTCTGAAGGAGTAATTATCTTTAATGCAGGGATGGGCAATGGCAAGTGCAGATTTGAAGTATTTTTTGACAGATTTGAATTTGAGAATTTTTTATCAAGTCGGTTTAGAGTTCGACTAAAATCTCTCATATTCTATGTCTCGTTTAATAGAGTAATGATTTTATTTAAAGGTGCCTCTTTCGAAGACGAAGGTTGAGCCCGTATTGATCCAAATTGTGATAAGTGTCTAAATATTAGAGTTAAAACAAATGAGCCCATTTGAAAGTGTCATTTTTTTCCACCTTTTACAACTACTGATAAATGAGTCTATATCTGATCAGCTGTATTTACATGAGATAGAATCTTTTGCATTGAAAAAATAATAATAATTTTAAAAGGAAATTGAATGTAAATTGAGATGAGCAACTGATACTACTAACAACAACATTCACAGTGTGAAATTACATCACTCCCATTAATGTTGTCATAGTATTTTTTTTAAACACAAAGATAGAGTCTTTTCTATTTAAGGAAGAATGATTTATGATGCGATAGGTATATTTTCGCTTTATCATATGTCAGAGTTAGTCATGAGTGTCAAAAAAAAAAAAATAAGCTTTCATTTTATACTAATATTTTTTGTGTATAGGTTGACATCGATCATAAAAAGTTGAACTAATTATTGATTGATAAAGATAAAGTTAGAATTAGCTGTAAAATGAGTTCTATTTCTGATTTCTTGTTGAAATCATTGCCCTGAAAAGAAAAACATTGATTTATAGAAAACTACACATATTACTTCAGCGAAATAAATGCCAGAACTGCGCAATATTTTGAAGAGAAAGTATTTCTTTAAAATTTCAACTTCAGATCGAAATAACTGATCTGATATTCCAAACGTTCTTTTTACTGAAACATCTCAGAATTTGTTGCGCTCATCCCAGTTCAACGGAAAACGGCTGAAATTTATATGGCAAATATTTTTCAGTCCACAAATTTTAGTGAAGTCTATCTTGAAAAAATATAGTCAATGGTAAGAAGAAAAAAAATCGAAATTTAGACATAAACGAACTCAATATGAGGAAAATTTGATCATACAAGGCATCACAGAGATAGATTATGCACCCAAAAGTATTAGCATAGAACTATAAATACACCAATAAAAATTGTCAACCGAGTTTTCAAATCGAGAAAAATATGTTTTGACCACCAAATTTATTCTATCGAACTGATCACGAAAAAATAACACTTTTGACCATTAAATTAATTAACGAACAAATAAATTATATTTTATGTTGTCCCATCATCAGCTGTGACAATGACACCATCCGTCTGGTTGAATACACATCGATCTGGTTAATGGACATCATTCGACGATTGACATAGCAAACATCATGTTGATTACTGTCAACGCTTACATCGTGTACATATCCATTTGCCCTCAAGCAATGAATGAACATGCAAACACTCTGTTGACCTGGCTATTTTATTTAAAATGTATTTAATTAGTTACAAAATGCGTTGTGAACCTTTAGATAAGAGAAAAGCTAAAGGTTGCCCAAAAAAAGTTCGGACAGCTTTGTTGCCATAAAGTTTGTAAACATTTTTTTCTTCATTTTATGATTAAAAGTTTTTTTTTCTGTAATCATCTTTCGTTAATTAATTGTCTTGTAATTTATTTTTTTCGTTAATTAATGTGGTGATCAAAAAAATACATACCCTTTCAAGTTGTTGATTATTATCTGTTACTTGTCCTTATATTTCTTTAATCTTTTTTCTATTTGTCTGCAATGTTCTTCGAATGATAAATAGTTATGATATCGTCTCGATTCGTCGACTAATTAACTTTTTTCCTGACTCGACCATAAAATTAGACATGAAAGATGTTAGTGAAGCGTCGACATTATAAAATGTCGACGAAATAGGAAAATCAATTAACGTGTCGACGAATCGAGACTGAACCATGATTACCTATTATTCTTCAGCATCAGTTTTCTATTTATCATTTGTCATTGTTTGATATTTTCTTTCTTATTTAAAGTTTGAACAGAAATTAGCATCATGCGTTTTCAAACATTCATTCAAGAATAAGGAGTTACTCATTACAGTAACATTCTGACACAAAAAGTGAATCAAACATTGTCAAAATTGACTGGCTAACGATTGCATTTTGTCTTTGAGACAATTGCAACTGTATTAATTTTCAATTTTTTATGTAAACTATATTGATCATTTTTCATTACATCCATTTCATGTTAACCCTTTGACTGCAGAATATTTTTTGAAAAAAATAAAATTTCTGCATCGTTGTATTCTTGCTCATAAATTAATGTAAATTTACAGTTTATTAAAAAGTTTTATAAATACGCGTTTTTATATGACGTATATTTGCGTCACCCGCAGCCAAAGGGTTAATATTGTTCTCTTAGATGAGAGTTATTTGATTTTGGATTTATCATTTTTAAGTTCAATACGCGTCTAACAAAGGTCTAGATATGCTAAATTATCCTATAAAAAAATCTCAGTGTGGCACTGCCAATGCGCACCGATGCGAACGGCATCCCATCGGTCACTGGCACTGGCTGGCATCATTTGGTACCCGTACTCAGCAAGTGCGAACCAGTGTCGATTGCCACCCGTGCACACCAGTACCGATATATTAATGCCCAAAAAGTACCGCACTGGCAAAAATCAGTGCCGCATAGGTGCCGCACTGAAATTTATTTAATCAGTTTAATTAGTTTTTTATTATAGTTGTTTATGCTGAATTTTGTATTAGAATACGGCACTGATCAGTATCACATTGACATGGGAAAACCATGCGTCATTGCCTTGGTATCTCTTATGAGAAGACAAAGATGAAGTCAGAAAGACATTAGAAATATTCGAAGTAGACTGTAATGTTAATATAGGTAGAAATAGTTTTGTACTTTTTTTCTGCAAATTTTATGTACTTGTAGTGTGGATGGTATGCTGCTCGTCCTCATTGACTGAACGATTCATGAGATATAAAGATTTCATTTTTTTTTCTCCAAAACGACGAGAATCATGACTCTTGTTGAAAAATTACAGCTGTTTTATGCTCAACAGTCACTTCTAATATTTTAATCCATTTTTGAAAAAGTGTGTAGAATTCTTTGAAAATTTTTGCCATTAGATATTGAAAGATTTAGCGATAAAATAAAAATTCAAAAAGTCACTAGAAATAGGTCCCATAAGTATACAAAATTTGTAGTGTAAAACTATCGTAGTCTGAGACATCCACAGGTTGAGATACTGCTGACGACTAATATACTTCTAATAATGTAGTTGAAACTTTCAATTAAAATTGTTTCAATGTAACATGATCAACAGATTTTTCTATATAAATGCTCGAAAATTAGTTACTTTTTAGTTAATGCACAATAATGTTTTTTTCCTTATTTCAAATTTTACTTTTAAATATTTCATTCATCTCCGTTTTCATTGAGGAAAAAAGATGTGTACAAATTTTCATGCACACACCACACACACACAGATACACATAGTAACAAAATACTTTAGAAAAAGAGAGAGAGAGCGAGCATGACGAGAGAAATTAAAACATACATGTTTTCTGACATATTTTGAATAAACATACACAAAAAAAAAAACTGAGATTTTCTGAAATATATTTTTGTTTATGTTTTTGAATCAACAATAGATCCGACTGACGAGAGACTAGATATTTTACGAGGTTATTAGCGAACATTTTAAAGTACGAAACAACGGACAGAAATAAGCACAGGGTATATATAAATCTAACAATTAAGAAGAAGTAAGAAAAAAAATAACAAAAAACAAAAGCGTTTAAAAAAGAGCATTTTAGCTTTAAGCCAAATGTAAAAAATGTACATATAAAAGTTTTTTCTTCTTGAGTAACCAGACCTAAAAGAAAACAGCAGATGTGATTGAAGATAAAAGAACTTTTAATTACTAAGTTCGCATAAACTCTATATTCCTGTCTTGTAGTTGTTACAAACCGAGAACGCTTTTCAGACAAGCAAAAAAAACGTTTTCTAAACTCACGAGGGCACCTTTCCAGGTGTCCTCGTCAGTCATTTATGCAATTTTACTTACATATTTCTTTAATATCTCGAACGTGTTGGTAAATGTTGCGTATGTCCATTTAATCTTGTTCCAGTTAAAAAATCTAACTCAAGTGTTTTTCGATTTAATTCTCTTCGTACAAATTCATATTCTAATTTTAACTGATCATGTCTTCGCCTCTCATCATCAAGATCGGTTTGTGCTCTCCATAAATCATTTTCAAAACGATGTATTATTAATAATTCATTTTCTTTTAATTTTCTATTTTCATTTTCAATATCTTTTAATTTTTCAACTAAACGAGATGGTTCCGTTTGACTATTATAACTTTCTGATCTCATTCGTTTTGTTCTAACTGAATTAGAAATTGTTGATGTTTGTCGATTTAACGATGGACTAACACATCGTGAATCCATATCAATATCCATCAATGATTTTGGTCTATTATTTTTTAAATTTGATATACGTGATTGAGCATTGATATCTTTTTGTAAATCTTCAGCTTTTTTAACTTCTAATTCAACACCACCAATTTTATGTGGTTTATCTTGAATAATTTTATCAACAATATCATAATCACTAAAAGCCAGAAAACCAAATTGTTTTCCATGTGGAATATTTGACGAGAGAACTTTTCCATATTTAATAAAATAATTATTTAATCGATGTTCAGATATTTGCGCTCGTGAACCACGAACAAATATACGTTTTACTTGTTTTTGAAGTTCATTCATTGGTAAACAACGCCTACAATTTAATTCAAGTCCATCTAATATATGAGGACGTTTATCCATAAACGAGTCAACATGTAAAGGTTTAGAAAAATCAATAAAACTATCATCATTTTCATTATTAACATGACAATCGATCACTAAAAAAAACGGAAGAGAATAAATTAATGATAGTACTTTAAAAAAATTAAGAATTTCTTATACCTGTCCCATATTTTGATGCATATTCTTCAAGTTGCTCGTCGGTTGTTCGATTATCTAAATTCGTAATTAGCACACGACATAATGGATTGAATTTACTAGATGTCATTGGTTTATCTGAAATGTAAGCACAAAAATGAACATCAAGCATCCCATTAAATAATTGTTAACATCTCTACTCCTTCAGTCTAGTAAAAAAAAACAAGAAGAATGATCTAAGGCGTGTTATCTGCTCTTCCAACCGATTAGCCACAAACAATTTTTTTTAAAACAAATTGTGTTCGTTGAGGGTTAACATTTTATACAACAAAGCGCATGAAAGAGCATTTAGACAAGAGTACAGCGACAACCTTAAAAATAGGATGGGAAAAAATTTTTAATAATTTAACATAAAAAAGTTACTTTCTATCGAAATAAAATAAAATATCAGGCTGAAGTCAAATTATATAAGCAAATGTTTGAAAAATACTTTCCATTTTCCATTAGAGAATAAATATACCAGATATATATATTCCCTTAGTTGATGAATAAAATTATTATTCGAAAAGTATAAATCAGTAAAACAATTTTTTATAAAACGATCTTCAATACGACGATGTTTTTATCAACTGTTCTATGGATAGACTAGAATAGACTAGAATAACTTTCTATGTATTACAAATCATTTTATCACTGAAAATTTTGATTCAATTAGAAAAATGTTACATAAAAGTTGTACTCTAGCCTCGATTCCTGATAAAAATCCGGTGAACGTCTCATCAAGGAGTCTTACCGGAGTTTGCAGATATTTTTCGCAGAAATTCCGAAAAAAAAATCTTCCAGAAAAATATTTGGACTCTTTTACGACTCAAGTGCAAGTTTTTCATTTTTTCAGTTGATTATCGAGCGATGCTACTTAGAGCTACAGACAAAAATAACGAGATCAAAGAAGTAGAAGCAGCATGATGGATACTTGTGAGACGCCTGCAGGATGAATACTCAAATCAGGGTTTTTTCTAAACGTAGGATATCGGCAAGACTCAAACAGTCTAGTTCTGCAGGAAAACAGGAAGAGAACAACTTCTGTCGGACTTTCTGTCTGATAATTTCTCACTCACTTTTTTTGACCAGTTGAACAGTTGCAAATAACTGGAACTGGTACCAAAGAATTTTGTGAAAATTAAATAATCATCACATTCACATCGAGCAAAACGTTGCTTTTCTTTGCTGGTAACCATAAATCAGTCAATTATTTTAATTCTCCAAATAGAAATCTTCTGATCAGTTGTGATTGCAACAATTACATAGTTATGTGACGTTATCAGGTATGAACAGTTATCTATTATAAACATTTATAATTAATCATAACTATTGAATAGCTAGGTCAGAGCGTCATGTAACATCGTTTTTCTGACCAATGCTGCTCTATCCTTTTCAGGTAGTTTCGGACGTTAGTTTTAGTGGAGAACATATTCGTTACGATGTGGAAATACAGTCCAATAATTTAGAATAGAAAGATAGTGAACACCGTTTGGTGTTGGACGATGACGGAAGTTCTAATCATGATGATGAGTGAGCCACAGCATCATAACGTTAGAAATTTTAACAATGAAAAATCAGGTTGGTGCTGTATTACCAAAATGTCGAACAGCTGAGTAAACATTCAGAAGTTACACATATTAATCGATAAATGTCGCACGTAGTCTAAATAAATTCTATGTGTATAAGCGGAGGATGATATTATTCATACGAAAATACAATGGAATTTTCTCTATGACAGGACTGAAAGGTTTTTATTATTTTGAATAACAGAATCAGAGTTTTCAATGAGTGATTCAGCAACTCAACGCGAAAATATATCATTCACATCCACATCAGAAATAAGTTTTCTTGATAGGAATTATTTAACAATTATTTATTACCGATCAAGAAAACAAAAGACATTCTGAGTGTTGCCTACCTGAAAATATTGTCATACAGACGAATATCTACATGCATCTAGACTCAAACTTAAATTGTTTATCTCGATTAAAAAAATTCCATCCAAATAATTTCTCATTATCGATCGGACAAGTTTTCTCAAGAGACTAAACGCATTAGACACGTTTTCGAGTTTTTAGATTCATTTAAGTCAAAAACCTGAAACTGTAGACACAACTTTTCCGAAAAAGGAATCAATGTTCAAATGCGCATCTCACCATCACGATACTTCCAATTATCTAATATTTTTGAGAATTTTGACTGTTCTTTAGTCATGTCTAGTTTTTTATACGAGATACAGTGGCTCGAAAAATTATTCATCCACCATTATTTTTAATTATTTTCTTTAACCATAATACTTAAAACAAATTTGGAAAAAGATTTGAACAGCTAAAAGAATTCTCAGTCTGATGTGGTGTATATAAAGGTTCCATCGAAATTTCTGAAAGCGGGACCCTTGGAAAACCAAAATCTCAGATAGTTTATGATATTTATGGGTAAAAATTTAAGTAGAAATTTAGTTGAGATAAGAGCAGCTTCAAATTTTTGTTTGTGTAACATTTTGTTGTTTATTCTGTCGAAACGTTGACAAATAAACATCAAAATGTTAAACAAACAAAAATTTGAAGCTGCTCTTATCTCAACTAAATTTCAAAATCTCAGAAAAACACGTCCCTGAATGCGATCGAGAAATTATTTACAAATAATTCCATCATATAGCGCAAACATTTTTGAACAAAAAGAGGCGTCTTTGAGTTTTCTACATTTTTTCATGAAACGTCGCTCAATTTACGAAAGGCCCTGAGGGTGGATATACTTTCGTGTTTTCCCGTTGATTTAGCTAATTTCGGTGGTATGAGATCTTTAATATTCTATTAATTTAACCATTTAATATCTATTATCGGTTATTGGTAAAATTTATTTTTCCACTTATTTCTAAACAAAAACATCAAAAACAAAATTTTGGAGTCAACGTGTAAAACTGCATCGAACAACTGTATATAAACAAATGATATTTCTGCACCATTCCAAAGAGCATATAAGAAAACCTATGAAAACTTTATTTTCCCAATCTCTGAGCATTTTTCTCTGAGTTAATTTTATAGAAACACGGGTTTGCAGAAAATTAAGACAGAGTGTTGGAAAACTTGTTTGACTAAATAAACGGAATCATCTATTAGAAAACATATAGAAAATAAATTCAGAAGCGATCGTGTTTCGCTGACTTAGCTTTATAGACAACAAGAAGCACTTTTAAAGTTTTCAAAGTAAACCATTAAAAAGAGTGTACCAGAAAAACTAGAAAAGGTATCTTCTAAATTTTTCAAATGCTTTTTTAAGTTATAGTACATGTTCGCACTATAAGACAAAATTGCCTACTGTGTGACGATGCAACTACTATTGAAAAATAATGATACATGTCTGAACATAAGAATACTATAAGAATGCATCCTGGAATTGAGAAGTGTCCAGATGCTTCTCTTATTCAATCGAGAGAAAAAGTGTACCTTAACGCACTGTTTTTCTGATTCAAACGGAGTAACACGTTTGGCACGTTCTTAAGACCATTTCGACAAAAAAGCACGTCTAGACGTTCTGTATATCTATATGTCAAAAGTTTTCAATCAGTATTGTTTATCTAACATAAAATGTTGTTTATGTTTGGATTAGAAGTATTAGGTATTTCCTTGAACAATTAATTTGACCTGTTTGAAGTCTATTACTTAAGTAATTAAATATAATTACATGTAACAAGTAGTATACTATATCGGTCCAATTACGAAAAAAGTATTAGGTAATAAATGAATGTTGCTGTTCAATGCGTACTCAGAGCAGAATTAAAACAATTATATAAAAATAATAAAGCGAATGAAGCGACAGTAGATGATGATTAGCTAGCAATCATGAATAACATTCATTTAACAAAGAACAATTCTATTATTCTTTGAGTCATCAGGAGTTATGGAAAAGATCGAAAACATTATCGACTGAATTATAACTAAACAATAAATTAGCATAATCAAATTAAAAAACAAATATTTTTTATTTTTAGATTAAGGGAGGACCCCTCTAGGTTTTTTTCATACCTTCCCAGTTCGTAGAGAATACTTTGACGTATATGTCTTGAAGCTTTTTCAGCTTACTAACATTATTTGGTTGAAAAAAAAAATTAATTACTTGGAAAATTTTGTTAAATTTTTCAGATCGGGACTAAAAATTCTTAGCCATTCTCCATTCGTGATGAAAACCTGTTTCGTGCGTAGATCAAAAGACAAATGTGTGAAGATTATTTAGTATATAAAAAAAATCTAATTTATAGAATATTATCTACTTAAAAATTCTACCGGTCAAAATGTCCTCTACAAACTGGTGAACAAAATCGGAAAAAGGAGTCTCCTTAAAACCTCACAATTTTTATCTTTATTTCAAAAAATAAAACAGGAGGTACCTTTGTACACCAACAACGAGTGTTCCATCGAAATGCGCATTTATCATAAGTAGTAAACTAGTAAGAAAAGAATGATGTCGATTATTGCTAGACACTGTTTATCAACATTGCAAGATAAAATTAATCATTAAGGAAAAAAATAAAAAATAATATTATGTGTATTTATGACAGAATAGACTGACTACTTTTAGCTAAGCTATATGTGATTTACCTATACTAATGTTTGCTAAAAAAAATACTGAAAAAGTGCTAAGCACAGTTAACTTAGTACTTCTGACGTAACCAAGAATCCGCTTTCGAAACCGGTATTAATTCGATCGAAAAAAATAGCTAGGAACAATTGCCTATAAATCAAGATATCAAGACTTTGAACAGAACAGAATAAAGAGTATAATCGTGGTACGAAAAATACGTTAGATTAATTAAAATTCACTTGAACTATTTAGTTTGAGCTTGCGACGAACGCTCTTACTATCGTCAGGAAATAGTATGACAAGAAAAATGAAAAATATACCTATACAGTAGTAAAACAAACTGGAATTAGACATTGTAGAGAGAGAGAGAGAGAGAGAGACAGAAAATATGAACAAAGAGAGAAAACGTAATCCAAACAGATATACACTTGGAAAAGTAGGATCATTAAAGAAAGTCTATTCACACGTCAAAGTTGCAGAAAATCATTGAATGAAAGTCAAATACAAACTAAGAGTATTTGATTGAATGTTATTATTGCATATGTCCTTATTAAAGGACATGTTTTTCGGTCGGAGACATTGCCCTACAAACATATATCTGTTTAGATTATGTTTTCTCTCTTTGTCCAATAGTTTTCAGTCTCTTTTTCTACAATTCCTAATTTCAGTTCGTTTTACTACTACTGTATTCTATATTAGTATTAATTAGTAGTAATTCTATATTTGTCATTTTTCTTGTCATATCTTGTTTCCGAACGATGGTGAGAGTGTTCATCGAAAGCTCGAAATAAATAGTTCAAGTAGATTTTAATTAATCTAACATGTTTTTCGTAGCAGTATTATACGCTTTATTCTGTCATTTATTTAAAACTGCTTTTCCTCTTAATTTTGAACAGAACAGTTAGAAAAAATCCAAATGTTATAAATAAAAACACATGAAATAGTATTGAAATTTAATCATGTTTTCTTTTAGGAAACGACAGAGAAAATTTGCTATTAAAGTATTGTGGATATGTCTTTCAGACACAGTTAAGATAAGCTAAAAATGAAAATGTCGCCGATATTTTCTACGTTCAGACGTTGATGGTGTTGGTGTCATTTTCATTTTTGTTTATTTTAATTTTTAGACGCTTGTCGCGAACAAATGATATAGAGTGCTATTTCAAAAACTAATACTTAATACGTTTACAAAACGTGTAGAATCCATTTTTATTTCATAAAGAAAAACTGATGAGATGAAGAATATATTTATTCATTATAAAATTACAAAAGAATATTTTTCTAAAACATTTGAAAATGATCAGATAATATTTTAACGCCAAAAAAAATAAAATGACTAGTCAAATGATTATAAAAAATGAAAGTTTAGAAATCAGATTAGTAATCCAAAATGTTCACTCAAATAAAAATATAAATTCACGGTGTTTTGAGTGAAACGAAAGAAGGTGGAAGATTATATAAAAACAGTTATAAGAGAATAAATTATTAACACCATCGGCAAGTTTTACTGACGAGCACCGTAAAAAACGAATAAATGTTTTTTTAGTTTTCATTTCTCATGCAACGAAAAAATTCTTTGAAAGTATGCTGAATATCGCTGATTCATAACAATCACTACATTGAGAAGGGCAAAGGTTTATCCATAGAACACCTGAAGCTAACCAGAACGACTACTAACTAATATTTAATGTCTTAATTTAGTCCTTGTTTAATTAAACCTATCACACACCACCGTTCAAACGTGTTTACAGTTTCCTGTAGATTTTTTATTAGTCCACTGTTCGTGTTGCTCCTTGTCCATAGAGCGGTATGATCAGTAAATAAGCCGTATTCCATTATGATCCGGCATTTTACTCATTGAATCCAAGACATAAATAATATACAAGAGCGGGGACTCTATTGTAAACAAAAATGTATTACAGGCATTTTTACATTAACAGTAAAACAAATTTGTTGACTAGAATAATTCAATAGATAACGAGACAAAAGACTGAAATGAGTTAGTATAATATAAATAATATACAAACGAATTAAAGCAGCGAACGAGATTCGCTATCTAACGAAAAAAGCACTGTTCTTAGTAGAAATAATGAGAAAAAGAAAAATGAGAAAATTCACAAAATAGAATTTCTTCTTAGCATCATGTTATTAATGAAGATAGTAAATACCAAGAAACATTTTTAACTTCTAAAGACGTTATTCGAGAAGTATAAGCGAAGGCTTATTGTTGTTCCATTATAAATGTATTATACACACTTTTGAACAATGTGTGATCACTGTTTAAAGATTAATACTTTCTGATTGTGTAGCCATTTTATATCTGCGTATAAGTGTCGTTATTCTTTCAACCCTTTATTCTGCGCCATTGAATCATTTAATTTGGTTGATCACGTTCTAGAATAAACAAATTCTAATTGATTGTTGTTTAAAGTTATTTTTTTCATTGATTTGTCATCTAAAGGATTTGATATTCAAAATAGATGGTTTTTGTTCGATAGCATAGGATAGTTTTTTTGCTGGTATCCAATCGTCTAATGGTTGACTTCCATTTATCATCTCTCATACATATCAACAGTAATGAAATTAAATGGTCTAATCTAAAAGATAAGTAAAACAAACGTTTGACAACTAGGATTAGTTACGAATGGCAAAAATTTCTTGAACATAGAAAACTGTATAGAAATACTGAACAAGAGCAATGACATAATTTCTAAAAAAATGGCCGAATTTGTTTCAAATTGAACTTCAATTTCAGTAGTAGAAAATTACAGAAAAAGTTAAACAATAAGAGACAAAAAATATATCACACATCAGAAAAGATCAATTTTCAAAAAAAGTGCATATAAAGTTTAAAAAAGACAAACTATATATACACACACATACATAGACTGAAAGAATATCTTTTGTATGAGATTAACTGCATAGAATCATATTTTATTGTTTATTGCACTTTGGCTTCATTTCTATTATTAGGCAAAGTGAAGAAAAAAAATATCTAACACGTTTTCATAGAGAAAAATTACAGTTTTTAATTTGGAAATTATTAAAGATATATTGACTCAATAAGATGGAAGTTAACTAAATGAGATACTTATTAATCTAATAAAAAACGATGGCCATGTTTACTAGTCATCATCACTTATCATTCAGCTTCAATTTTTTTTAATATGGTAAAAAATGATTCAATATCAATTTGTTGTTGTTTTCGTAATTTTTCACATTCTTCATATTGTGTTGTTAATTGTTGATTTTGTACATCCAATAGTTTTGTTCTATCAACTAAATTTTTATTCTCATGTTTATACTGCTGTAGTATAATGTTTAGTTTTTTAATTTGAATTTCATAATCTAATTTTATTTTATCTCGATTTTCATCCAATTCAAGTAATTTATTTTCATTTTGTTTAAAAGTATCTGTCAATTGTTGAAGAGCTTGTTGAGATGTATTTAGAGAAATAATTAATTCTCTTTTTTCATCTTCTAATCGATCTAGTTTCGATTGTTTTTCTTTTAACAAATTGATTTCAACTAGTTTTTCATTATTATCTTTATATAAACGTTCATTTTCATTCAATAAATGTTGACTCTTATAACTGAGACCATTTAAATACCATTCGAATGGATGATCATACACATTTTCTACAAGTAATTTTTGAGATTGTGTCGTTTGTTCATCATCTCGTTTTTGACGTTTATTTGGTGGCGAAATTGTGAATTGTTGCTCTTGTTCTTGTTTTACATTAATTTCATTATCATTTGATGAAATAGAAACTATTAAATGTTGACCATGTAAATAATGTTGATCACGTAGTATTTTTTCAACATCATTCTTTCTATCAAATGTTAAATAAGCTCCAACTTTAACTCCATTTTTTATTATTATTTTACTACCACACGGTTTAACATATTTACTCGTAAAATATGTTAACAATTCATTTTCATCATTAATTAAACCATCAACATAAATTTTATGAATTAAATTTTGTTTTGATAATTTCTGTTGTCGTGGTTGATAAACTGCAGTTGATTCTGGTTTTGTTGTTATACGTTTTTCAATAACAACATGATAATTATCAATAACAAGTGGATGTTGTCGATGTGCAACAAGCATTTTTTCAGCCGATGATTTACGTTTAAATGTCACAAATCCATACAATCGTGATAATCCATTCTCATATGCTAACACTACACTACTAACAATTTCACCAAATTTTGAACAATAATTTTCAAGATCATGACTTGTCGTAGCTGGATTCAAACGACCAATATACAATTTTGTAGAAGAATTTGATAAAGTTTGTCTTGAATGATTATGATGAGATCGATACGAAGATAGTGGTGAAGACATCGTATCCTATAATTAATTAATTACAAATTAAAAAATTGAAGAAAATACATAGAAAATATCTAAAAAACTTTTTTTTCTTATCTTCATATTCCAGTTTATTGAACAATACTTGTCAACTTTGCACATTATTCGAATATATTAATGATTATTAAAAACTCTATCAAATACCCTCAAAATTTCAAAAAATTACTGCAAAAAGTATACCTCCGAATAGAATAATTGATACTTTTATACAAAAAAAAAGACTCTTATAATCATAATTAAAAGCCAAATATGAGTTGAGTATTAACAAAAGTAACGATTAAATCTAATAAACATAAACTTGTAAATGAATGTTAAGTTACTCAATTTTAATCGAGTAAAAAATCTGCAAATTTTACTTTGCTCTTACACAAAAAAACTTTTTTCCTGCCAGTAGATGTCTACAATAAATTTCAAGTAAAATTTGAAAGTTTCAAAAATGGTAGATTATGACGAGACCCTTAATAATGCGTTTAACTGTAGACATTTTTAACAAAAAGGAAAAACTGAAATAAATATTTTTTTTACTGAAAATATCACACTATGTAGCAGAGTGTACGTTAAAAACTATTATCAATAAACATGAGTCAAACTCAAATATTCTTATTTTAAAAAAGACAAAGATTTTTTTCATCGAAAAGTCAATGAACATGACAGAAAACAGAATTATTGAAATAGTAATTAGTCTTTGGTTCATATTAATCTCTATCAATTACTGATAAAAGTTACCACGTACTTTATTCAATTATTTAGCACATAAAAATCGTCTATCTTGTACTTGATTTATAAAAATAAATAAAATATCAGTAAACAATATTATAAAAAATAAATTACAAATAAAAACAGCAAAAAAACGTTCCTGTCATTTTGTTTTATCTACGTATAATAAGATAAATGTTAGTGAATCTGTTCTTCCATCTTAGCATTTTCTAATTCTTCCTTCTACCAAACATGGTTTTAACATTTGAGTCACGTTTATATAAACATAGTAGAAACTAAATGTTCATGATATTTTTTATCATAGGTAAATCAAACAAAACTATAACGAAACAAATATTGAATAAAAAGCAATATTCTCTCTAGTAAGCAGAATAGATTACCTTTGAAAAGTTTTTGTAAATAATGTTTTTTAGTTGAATTGTTTTAATTTTTGACAAAAAGTTTAAAGAAAATTAAAACATCAGCACGAAACACTATGAAAGCAAAATTAATATTGTTTGATTAGACTTTTATTAGATAATACTGGTTTGAATACTTGAATCATTTCTGTTGTTCCCGTACCTAAAATAAAATATAATCAAATACTGAAGAATGACAAATGCAACGAGAAGGTTTTTCTAAGAGGCTAGACCATACACCGTGCAGGATTATTTTCATTCATAAGAAAAGCCTGTCGATCTCGATATGTCCAGTCCTGGAAAAACTTTCTCACCGGTTAAAAATATCACTAGTTAAAGCATATCTTTCTTTTTTTTAGCATACAAAAACAACGAAAATAAACATAAAATTTTATCTTACTTACCTATTAATTACTCTTCTAACTTATAGCTTATTCTTCTATCGATAGTTCCGTATGTACATCTCGTCTAACTACATCGTATCCATACGCTTACTGGAATCTATGTTTGACTTTTTCTCCAGTATAATAACTTGCGTACCTATTTTTCTAGCTTATGATGATGAATTCTAAGCTTCTATCCACTATCTATGATACTCTTATTCCATAGACTTAAATGCTTATAAAACGAATCTAAAAACAATGCACAGACAGCAACTCACAGATATTAATATTATTAATGAGAAAATAGATTACATCTAATACACTGTAGATTATACATTATACTGTTGCTAATAAGTTTTTACTTAATAATAATATTTTTAGTTTATTATACTTTTATTAATCATATTGTACTGTACACTAATCCAAAATTTCGATCTAAATCGCTTTGATGATCAAATGGTCTTGTTTAGAGTATGGTATCCTTAACCTTGTCAACATAAGAAGTGCACGATATTTAAAATATATAGTCACTCTGCTACGGTCTAATATTATCAGAAGCTTAATACATGCTGATCTTTGTTATTTTTATCAAAAATCAAACTTTCTTACATTAAGAGAAAACAAAAATGAAAAAAAAAAACAATGCATATTTTCATACGATATAAAGTTCTCTGTTAGACGCTCATAAAACGGCCATAGGAAATACAAGTTAGAAACAGATTTGTCTTTCTTTCGAAATATTTCAGAACGAACAAAAAGACGACAACAAGAATTATAATTGTTAGACATTAAAGAATAGTATGTACAAAACTTGACAGCGCCTATAAACAAAAACAAATGCATTTGTTTCGTACAGCGATTTAGACAACTAAGCCTGAAAGCAGATGAATGAAAAAAAAATGGGCTTATACCCTTCTCGTACGTATTTGTGATTAAGGTCATATAAGTTCCTCATTCATAAGAAGAAAAACATCCTAATAGGAAAAATATTAAAAAGAAGACTACTTGTGCAAAGTTAAGTTTCAGCTGTGTTGTTCACACGCAAAATAACACGAACAGATGAGATAATTCGACATCTGAAACAGCTTCTTTTTTTAGGTAGTTATATCTATATAGAAATAGACACAAACATACCACTTTTATGAATAGGAACAAGAGAATATTGATAGTTAACGACCACCACCGCCTCTTCCACCACGTTGTCCTCCACGATAACTGTTCGGACGTTCGTAGGGAAAACTTGAACCACCTCCTCGACTTGCTCCTCGTCCCATAGCAGAGCGTATTGGTCCACCACCACTACCTCTCGTTGGTTTATTGTAGTTATTATTATTATTATTATTTGTCCGTGAATAATTACTCCCGAAAGATGGATTATTCATTGAATCATATCCACCACTTGTTGGTTGACCTATATTCATTGGATTAACAGTCCCCATTCCCGAATTTTGATTAAATAAACTACTTGGATTCGACATTGTATCAAATGGATTTGGATTTCCTATATTTGTATTATAACTGTTTTGCTGCACTCTTTGATCCATTGGTGGTTGATTAAATCCTTGTAAACTGGAAATATTTGGCATCAAATAATTACCTAAATTATTATTTGGCAAAGGTGGTGGCTGCTGTTGATTATTTGTATTGTAATTGTCATAACTCATTAGTCCTGTATTATAAGAATTCGTTGGCATACTCGCTGATTGAGAATTCGATTGCGAGTACATTCCACTGCTACCACCTTGCAATGAATTCATACCGCCTAATGAATTCATACCATAATTCGAAGGATTAGGTCCACCCTGTCTGCTGTTTGACATTCCATAATTACTGTTATTATTATTCATGTTGTTGTGATTATTGTTACTACCACTATTATTGCTACTAATCGGTCGTGAATTACCATCCATTGTGTTTCCTAGTAAACCTTTGCCTGTAACAGGAGTACCATCTTCATTTGTCTTTTGTTTTGGTACTGCTTTACGTACATCAAGTTGACGGCCCATAATTGAATGAGGACGTTCTAAGATCGCTCGATCAACGGGATCATAATCATCAAAAGTCACAAAGCCAAAACCGCGCGGTTTACCTAACAAATAAACACGTTGTCAAACTTTCACTGTTAAAACTAATCGTACTTACCGTCTTTGTCTTTCATCACAATTGTTTCTACTATTGCTCCATAACGTTCGAAATATTGTCTTAATATGTCTTCCGTAATACCATCTCTTAATCCAGCGACAAATAATTTTTTAACAGTTAAATGAACATCTGAATTGTTTTTTTCTTCTCTTGGCATTGCTCGTTTTGGATCAATTTGACGACCATCGATTAAATGAGGTCGTTTTGCCATAAAATCATCTACCATTGCAACATCTTTAAGGTGAAAAAGAAACATAATATTTATTAAAATTGAATAGTTTGGACAATCTTTCATGTAATAACCTGAGTATGTAATAAAACCAAAGCCACGACTTTTAATATCTCGATCTTTCATCACTAAACAATCCGTTATGTCACCAAATTGTAATGCATATTCTCTCAACGTATCGTCAGTGGTACTAAAGTAAGAACAAATAAAAATAATGCAATATTTTTGATGATGTTACCGAGTACGCAGCTCACCGGTAAGATAAACCTCCGATAAAAATTTTCCTATTCTGATCAGCTATTGATGGTGAAGGCATGATTTTTCTTTTTCAGTTGTGACGAATAAACAAAATTGTAAACTATTTAATAAAAAAATCTACGAACAAAATGCAAAAACATCAACACTTCATTAAAATCCATGTTGACAACACATCAAAGAACCAAAGATATTTGACATGATGTTTTGAGTATCAGATAAAGAAAAGTGACCGTTTTGGTTCATTTCAGATGAGTTGAATGGTTTAGAATTCTAATCTCTTACTTTGACACATATAAAAACGTAAAAGTTGAAAAGAAAATGCTAAAGGGGTAATTTGTTCATCTCAAAAAAATAGAAATAAACAAGTGATAAATCAGAAAAATGCATTAAAATAAATAAATGATTAATTAAGCAATCCATTTTATTTCCTTTCTCTTTCTCGATTTCTCTCCTGTTGGCCAGTAGAATTCATTCTTTGCCTCTTACTCTTGACACATTCTGACTCGTTTATGAATCTATAAGGTGAAGATCAGTTGACAAATTCTGATTTGTCTAAATTTCAACTAATCTCTGAACCTAAAGATTTCCTAGGTAGCGTATCTTTTTTCACGTGAATCAGCACACTACTTCTCCAATAATTACGTTCTACTTTTGGTGAGTTTGCTGATTGCTGCTGTATTTTCTCCAAAAATTCCAACAAACAACGGAAAGATAGAGGGATGAAAGGAAACAAGATTCTTATCTTTAACTAGGAATAGAAGTGATTTAATGATGATAAATTAATCCTTAAGGAAAGCACAAGATGTTTTCCCAAAATCGTGATCCATTACTATAAAATCAGCTCACGTAGAGAATTTAGAGAGAGTCAAACGTGCACTTAGATAATGTCTGAGAAACATTTGAGACTTTTTTAGTGTGCTGTAGGTAAAAAAAGTCAGTCAGTATACAGGTGAGAAGAACTGATTTATTTATTCTAAGGCTACAGTATGCACCCTGAATCCACCATTGGAATGAGCAGGCATCAGCGTTAATACAGCTTTTTACTAGTCAATTAGTTGTTATTGTTCATTTAAAACTTGAGAATACTGAGCTTAATGCACTTCTTCATTAAGTCAGTATATGAAAACTCTACTGACAGCTTGTGCAGAAAAGTGTTCGTTAATAATTCATACGAATTGCTATTATTATAGATGGCAGATATCCGCTATTATTTTTCGAATGAAAATGCTTACATCGAGCATCACTATTTATCTGTCTATTTTGAAGACTGTGTTCGTTCATTGCTTGAAACACGTCGACGTTCAAATGCATTGAAATTTGATATTAATGAATATATACGTGATTATTTCAATCAAATCAAACTTGATCAACATGTATTAGGTCGAGATTATCAATTCATTTACTTTACACCATTGAATAGAAAATCATTTATCGGTCATTTATGGACAAATTATTTCACAAAACAACAAGAACATTGTTCAACAATAACGCTAAAAGAATTTCATACAAATATCTGTACACTTTGCCCCGATTTTCCGTATACAATGGTTGAGTCAGCAGCACAAATAATCGTCGACAATGTAACATCTGACTGTCGTATTGATTATATTGATTTACTCTATGCATTCCAATTACGATTTTTTTATGATGAATTTATTAATGAGACTCAAGTACTATTTCGTACATTGAAAAATCGTCTAAATTTTCATGTACCAACTGAAAACAAAGCAAATGCCAATACGTTAACAAATAATGATAAACATGAACAAACAACTCAACGTACAGTACTTATTGAAGCGTTAGAAAAATTATCAACAAAAGTTCGTTTTAGTTTTCCACCATTATCAATTATAAATGAAATATTAATGAGCTCTGATAATAATAATAGTCATTATCATCACTTTAATTACAATGATTTTCTTAGTTGGTTGGCTAAAAGTGAAAAATTAAATCAACATATTGGAAAAGCACCATCAACAATAAAATTGTTTAGAAAATCAAGTCAATCAAATGTTATCAATACACCGACTTCACCTTCTCAATCAATTACACCAGATTTATTACAAAAATTACCGACAACACCTCCAGTTCTCGGTCAAATTGCACTCCCTCCATTAACATCGATATCAACTTCGTTGCAAAAACAACCAACATTAATCAGAGAAAAACCGATTAAACAACAACAACCTGCAAATGTAAATAATATCATAATGAAACGTTCTCAATCAGCATCATCAGTTATTAAAGTGAATACAATTCCTGATCATGATGAACAAAAACATAGTGAATCAGAGTCCGAATCGCATTCAAGTGATACTGATACATAATTTAATGAATGAAAGTATTTTTATTGTTCGTTATTTCTAATGACATATACTGATATAGTTGTGATCCATCTTTTTGTTTTAGAGTATTTTATATTTTGATAAAATTTTTATTTGTATACAGATTTTATGTTATAAAGAATATTTAAATCTTCTATAGATCATTGTAAAGTTTCTTAAATGGAATGTTATGGTTTTCATATTTTGTAGATTTTATTGTAGAAAAGAAAAAAGAACAGTTTAGACGATGTCCACTGCACCGTTAGAAACAAAATTTCAGGCAGCAGTGAAAGCAATTCAGCGATTACCAACGGATGGTAAACTTGTGTTGTTATTTGTTTACTTAACAGATTTTGAAATTATAATATTATTTTCTCTTTAAGGTGCATTCCAACCTAGTAATGAGATGAAACTAACATTCTATGGGTTGTATAAACAAGGTAAATCAAGTGATTTTTCATGCGTAACTGTTGCTAAAAATGTCATTATATCCATTTAAGCTACTATTGGTCCGAGTAAAGAACCAAGACCAGCGTTTTACAATTATGTAAATCGTGCAAAATGGTAAGATTTTGCAAATAATTTTACAAATTTGTTGAATTGTGATATTATACATTCAATTTAACTCAGCACTACTTTAGTTCGAGAGTTGTCTCTATATTAAGGCTAATAGATTTGTTAATCGCTTAATAGACATCAAAGTTTAATAAAGGCTAATTGAAATTTATTTGAAAACGACATTTCGGATATACATGAATCCATAACCAGTTTATTCCTTGATAATGGGGTCATGTATATCCGGAACGTCGGTTTCAAATAAATTTCGGTTAGCTTTTATTAAACTTTTTTTTGGCTCTAAATAAAAACAAAATTTTGTTAATCGCTCATATAAACGCCAAGTAGATTCTTAATTGTCTTCTATATTGAAATTAAATTATAAAGATAATTTATTTTTAAACAGGGATTCTTGGAACAAATATCGTTTATTGACGAAAGATCAAGCAATGACAGAGTACATCAATGAAATTCGAAAAGTATGTTTCTAATATAAAATTTATTAACATGTATACTGAAAATATAGATCTAAATAAATTCTCTTAATATCAAAGCTAACTATTTCCACTACACTATTTCTTTTTCGGGTTTAAATTTTTCTTCGTGCATTTAGTAAAAGAAATTTTCGTCCTTCAACTAAGACATTCGAATACACACTTTCATAGAATATAAAGAAATTAACTCTTTATGCCGTATTGTCCCTTCCAGAGGACATCACCATAACTACTACAAAAACGTGACACAGCGCTAAATCAAAATTTTTTCAATCGGGTTTTTTTTCAACCTAATGTGACACTATATACGCTAATGATTACAAATAATAAAAACATTTTCATAATGTCTAAACAAAGGTATACAGGTTTCAAGTTTGATTTGCATGATCAGTTGCAGGGCGGGCCGTAAAGGGTTAAAAATTATATGCAACGGCCTCATGGAATAAAGGTTTCTCCGTATATTTGTAGTAGGATATCAGCAGAAGCAGTAGAATATTCCATTCAACGGTGAAACATCTTCTCTTTTATTGTTTCCAAGTCAAGAATGTTTAGCGTCCGTTGAAAATTTTGTGTTTTGATCAACAACTGTCTATCAAAGTTTAAATTTCTTCCACACTGACAGAAAACAACAAAAAAATCTTGAGCCTGTGCAGAACTCTAATTGCTTCATTCTCCAAGTTTATGAAATTCATACGTTTTTTTATGATAATTGCATTTTCTAAAGATTTTGGAAACAATGCCTCAAACGAATGAAGTACTGGAATTTACGAATTTGATTGGACCATTTTATGAATTCGTCGAAGACAACCCAAATAATAACAAATCAATGATGATGAAAAAACAAGCAGCGAACAAATCAATAACCGACAAAAATTTATATAATACACTTACAAACGGATGTACGTTTATTTGATTCTTTCTTCTTTTTCAATTATTTTAAATCTATTTGACGTTAAAGTTATATTATATGTTGTTCTAGTGGGTAATGGAGATCATCTGTATTCAAATGGAGAACCTAGTACCAGAAACAATGTGCAACAACTTGCGACATCAGGAAATGCGCCGAGTTCTCCCTCATCGTCTTCACCACCATCCTCTTCCGGTTAGATTAATACAGTCGCCACAGCAAACTTCAAAAAGTAAAGTTTTATTTTGTTTAGATGTCGATGGTGAAGATGTAGATATATACGATGATCCTTCTGATCGATTATCACTCAATCAATCACCACGTGATGATGAAGATCAAAATTTTCCAACTGGAATCAACCAACATATCAATAATAACGTAAAGTTTTTACTCTATTTCTCGTTAATTCTACTTTAGTTATAGTATAGGAATAGTATAACAATGTTTCACCGAATAACTATAACGATAGTTAAAGACTTTCTTTATATTTTTGTATATGCTGAAACTATTAAGCTTTTCTTACTTTTCGTTGAATTAGTTTGATAATATGATCCAAGATGAACAAACAGATAATGTTAATTCTAACCAACAGTTAATAGTCATTGATCATCATTTAAATGATCAATCAAATTCGCCAAGTCCCAATCATTTATTAACAATACCTCAACAGACACAACCACAATATAAGCGAAAAAAGATGAACTTTAATAATCAAAGTACAACAAATAATAATACACGAAATTCAAATGCATCATCAATCACTGATGGATTACTCATAAAGCCATCATTTCATAGTGTTGGTGGACAAAACGATTCAGATCATTCAAGTATGAATATTAGAAGTTCAATAAGACGAACAAGAGGTAAACATGTAACATTTTCTCTAGTCTGTAGCCAATTGAATAAAATTTCTTCATCTTTTTTAATTACAGGAAACAATTCAAATGTATCATATCGACAACTATCTTCTAATTCACATCGGCAGCCATCGGAAAACGCGAACGCTCACTCTTTAAACTCACTGTCGAATAATGGTAACGGAGATCGTGATCATGAGTCTGATAATAATGACGGAACAAATACACAACGTGAAATACTGACAATGTTGATTAAATTACAGCATGATGTTAACAATGTATTAGAGCGACTTAATCGTTTAGAAACATCAACTTTTATTCAAAATGTAAGTTTTACCATATTTTATTATCGATTACAGCATTATCTCTTACATTTTCTATATATTAAGAATGATTCATCCCTTCAATTTATTCGACACAATCGACATTCCGTAAGTTAAAAAGTCAACGGCTGAGAAATCTACTTAATTTTTTCGAATTAGTTATTCAGGCATATTTATATATATTACTTTTTAGACAATTGCACCATGGCTCCCATTATCCGGTTTTCGTAAACAAACAGCTGCATTTCTTCTGCTCTGGCCGTTTGCTGTATTTGCAATTATTCGACTACTATTACATGCGAAAGTTATAATACGGTAAATTAATCTACAGGAAAATGATTAATGTCATATTTGTCAACCTTATTTAAAGCTTAGAATCTAATGATATCGTTCAAGTATACATTTATTATTATTATAATAAGACAGAATCGCTCTTCAGCTGATACCAAACTGAAAGAAACTGTTTTTAAATTGATATTTCTCGATTAGTTGCTCGTAGTGATTGTTGAGATTTTGTTGCCATAATGGAATTTGTCTGTAGCATTGAAACTTGTTCAAGATACAAGCATCTTTTTCTTCCAGTTTACATCTCTGAATCCGCTATAAATACTATCCGTATTACATCCAATTTACTATTTCTTTTTTAGTTTTCGACGACGTCGCATCTGATTTAAATTGGTTTTATTTTTATGTGATTTCATTCAGTTGATCAACAACAGTCTATATACCGTAAAACAATTCAGAAGAACAGAATATAAAGTCTTTTTCTTTTATTACATTTTTTTCTAAATATAAAAAAAAAGTCTTTCGTATGTGTTTTTCTTGCGAAGACGTAGACTACGCGCACGTTCTTCTTTCAACGTAATTCAAATGGTAATTCCGGTTAGCAGAAGAACTATTATTATTTAAATGAGCATGAACAAATAAACTTATCTTCTGAATGATTTTTATTAATTGGTTGACTGTGCAATACTTCAGTGTTCTCTTTATTGTTCTACCCACTAACATTTTTTTTAAAAAAAAATTTCTTTGTTCATTCGACGTACATTTGTTTTTTGTAATATTTTCCTTAAAATATACATTTTTTCAGTAAACAATCATTTTTAGATTTATTTAATCATTATCTTTCCTTTATCTCTCTATAATTCTTATTACAATCAATATTTTTTGAGAATTTCAATTTTAGAATTATATTAAACGATGACATCTACCACAGTTGAGAATGAACATTTGGGAATTCCAAAAGCTGTGTTTGTCGAAGATGTTGATAGTTTCATGCAACAATCAGAAAATCCATCAGCTGATGTTGTATTGAAAAGGTATGTACAAGTTTTGTTGTGATTCACAGGAAACAATGAATTTTGTTTTATTAATTAGATTGGATGATTTGAATGGAAAATATCGTTTTATGGAGATGAATTTATTGCAAAAAAAAAAGCGTTTGAAAAGTAAATTACCTGGTAAGTAGTTCATTAATTTAATTCATCATCATCTATATAAAAATATTTGGTATTCGTTTTTGATTTTTATTAGATATCAAAATGTGTCTAGGTGAGTAAATTATTAGTATTTTGAAATTCTCTATTTATTTACTTTATATGACTAGATATGGTTGAACAATTAAGAAAATATCGTGAAAAAAATACAAATATGGAAACAAATTTTTTACTCGCTCACAATTTATATGGGAAAGCAGGTAAACTCACTCATTTTCTTCTGTAATATTTTTATCTGTACAATGAGTCTTAATGTCTTTTTCTCATTTTAGCCATACCGCCCACAGATAAAGTATACTATTTTTATCATTTAGTTCTTTAATACATTTTCATATTCTTATTTCTATATTCAAGGTCTGTTTATGGTTAGGCGCCAATGTCATGCTTGAATATACCCTTGATGAGGCCGAAGAATTATTACAAGGAAATCAAAAAACAGCACAATCAACAATGGAAAAAGTAGATGATGATTTAGATTTTCTAAGGTAATTTTATCAGTAAAAAAATATGTTATACGATAATTATTGCAACGTTGTCTTAATAATTCAGAGATCAAATAACGACAACTGAAGTGAATATGGCACGTTTACACAATTGGAATGTAAAACGAAAACAAACAGAGAAAAGTCAGAGTTAAACAATTTTAGACTCAATTAAAAGAAGTAACAAACAAGGAGAATTTTTTGTGTTTTGATCTTTTCTTAGCTTTTTACTGTGTTTGCTGTTGACTTTACTATTATAATAAAAGTTTGATTGGCTGAAAAAGGCAATTAAACCTTATCTCATTTAATCTAGTCGGACTACTTGTTTTACGGAAGGTTCATCTTATTAATATTGACTTTCGATTCACGGAAGTCTACCATAGTTTTATGTTTCACTTTAACTCTGTATATCAGGTGTCTCAGATTAAATAGCACTCTTAGCATTCCCTCTACAACTGTTTTTTCTTATGTTCCCAACTTTTAGTTAGTTTTTCACTAGATGCGTCGTCAGCTGCTGTCCTACAAAAACATATCAGTAAAACATGTCAGTAAAAAATATGAGGAAACACTATGAAACTTCGATCCCCATTACTTTGTAACCCAGAAGACACTTTTGTCGAGTTTCGTTCTTCATGATTTACCACATAAAACAAAGGATATAAACCATTTTGTAGCTCGTCAAACACTTTATTAATTGGCTATATTTAAAATTCTTTATAATCACAAGCGATTGAGGGAGAATATTTTTTTCTTTTATCGTTTTTGCCAAAATCATCATTTTTAAACTACAGTTATAGACCACTTAGAAAAAACTTGATAACTCAGCCAAAATCAAACATTGTGATGCTGGGTTTGTTTTATCGCAAGAATAGGTTCAAATTGAAATTGAACCTATGATACGCGAAAAAAAAGGCGATACTTCGAAGTACCAACATCCACTTTGCCTTCACTTTCATGCAAGCGAAAGTGTTCAAAATAAACTTTTTTTTCCATTATTTTCTGAGTTGCATTACTTCAATGGAGATCGAAGTTTCACAGTATTTCCTCTATATTTTTATTTTTGAGGTCTACCAAAATATGTTCCTTATGTTTTTGTAGAGCAGCAGCTGACGACGCATCTAATGAAAAACTAACTAAAAGTTGGGAACATAACAGAAAACAGTTGTAGAATAAATACTAAGAGTGTCATTTAATCTGGAACGCCCCATAAAATCTCTTTAACTAGTCTTGAGAGTTCAAGACACACAAACGTTTCATTTGTTTTTTGTAAAACGCTAATAACTTCGGATCCACTAGCAATGAAAACTTTTTCTTTCAAACAAAAAGTAGTCACAACTTTTCTCTATCTACTATATGCATTTAAAGCTTCGTACAAGGATGGATTTTGTGTTTTAGTAGTTTAAGTTTCAGAATGATACAATAATGATGAGAATTTATATTCTCGATTTCATTCTCGTTCAAGATTAGACCAAGTTTGAGATTCTGTCCGAAAAAATTTTAGCTCATCCCAGCAACATCTTTTTGACTCAAACACTGCATCGAATACTCTACAATGCCTACAGATTATGCGCCCAACGAAAAGGGTGGTTAAACTTTATCAATAGAATTATATATTCATCTTTTACTCAGAGAAAAAATGCTCTGGTGAAATTTTTCGGTGAGAGCTATAACTGCACAAAAATAGTCTCTAGCTTTTAAGTTTCATTGATGCCGCTATTTTTCTGAAACACTATGAAGTAAGAATGTGTTCGAAGAGAATGAGCTGCTTAACTAAATGTGATATTATTGTCTGTGAAACAGTGCAATTTGGTATTATAATAATCCGACTGAACCTCAAAGCGCCAGTGTCGAAGGAGGACGCTAAGAGCTAGTGCAACTCTGATGCTATTTACTCTCTTTCCTTCTTTTCAAGAAGTGACCAACCATAACAATGTATTTGTGAGCTTTGTTCTAGTTGTTCAATAGGAAGAATTTTCTTCAAATCATAAAGACATAAAAGCAAAGAAGGTTCATTAAAATTTATATACTCTTACACTCAATTATACTACTGCTAAAAAAGTTTTCTTTTTGATATTGGTCTATAGTAGTTCATATTTAGTTCTTTAAGAAGAAATCAGGTATGGTTCATCGTTTTTGTCAGTCACGTTTTCTTTTGGCTGGAGAAGGTGTTGGATAGTGTTAGTGTAGTGACTGTGTACACTAAGACTAAGATTGTTTATTCACGAAAAGTGAATAAACAATCTTAGTCTTAGTCTACACTAAATTAATTTATAACACAGTCTGTTCGCGATAGTCTAGAACCTAATAATTTATTTACTAATCTAAGAGCATTTGTTTTATATAAGTTAATCTAGTCTCCTCGTTCATGATATATTTTCAAGTAGTAGGTATGCAGCAGTTGCGGTTAACTGTAACTGTACTGAAAAACTGTTACAGTTAAAACTGATTATGACTAAAGAAAAAAGTTTACGTAAAACCAAAATTTTTGATCTTATGAATTTGTAGATAAGAAAAACAGTTACGTTCAACGCTTTAGAACTTGGAATTTTAGTTCTTTAAATATATCCGTGCTTCTTGTTTAACAAAATCTTATTTTATTTCTCAATGTAAGAATATGCATGAATCAGCGTAGCATACTTTTAACACTTGCTAAGCATAGAGGATATAAATTTTGTAGTCAAAATAATATATAACCATACCTTTAGTGAGATTCATTAAAGAATCAACATGAAGAAAATTACTGCCATGCTTAAACTGTGTTTTTGTTTTTCCAGCAGTTTTCTAGTTACAGTTGACCTTTATGACTTTGTTGATTACCATTATTGACGAACGCGGTTTTTAAAACGGGATTCCTTGATTTTACCCCTCCATTTTATCTTAGTCTTTCAAAAGATCGTTTCTTTATGTTTCATTTTCCCTATTGTTGAACACTGGATAGACGTGAAGTGCGACTGACATGAACGCCTCAGGAGGCAAAAAAATTCTCTTTATCATATCAGGAGATTATAGTGAAATTTTATTTTTTTCATTAGTCTAGATCCAGTCGATAGTATAAACTATGTTCTCGGCATTCAAACGTCGTGCGGCTTCCGCATCAAAATCAGACACAAATGTAAAAGGTGTTTCACCACGGGGGTCAACATCCACTGTTACATCAAAAACAAATGAAAATGGATTGTATGGCACACCAACACCATCAAATGAAAACAATAATAACAACTCAAAACAAATACGTGGTAGAACATTTTCTGGTCTCTCATTAACATCCTCATCTTCGTCAACATTAACAACGAGTCCATTACTGAATATAACGCGTCTACAAGAAAAAGAAGAATTACAAACGTTAAATGATCGTTTAGCTATCATCATCGACACTGTTCGCCGTCTTGAGCAAGAAAATTCGAAATTAAAAGAAATTCACCATACAATTCATCAGGAGCATACTGTCGAAATATCAAATATGAAATCGCTGTACGATCGAGAATTAGAATCATCAAAAAAATTAATCGATGATATAGGTATGTAAAGACGAAAAGTAACTGAAAACTTGGGACGAAATAGAGTTTTGTTTTTTCCTTGGACGGTTTAGTTTACAATGAGAATGCTCACCATCGCTGTTGTTCAATCACATTTATTTTGATTTGTTTTAGCAAATGAAAAAGCATTACAAGATATTGAAAATGGTAAATTAAAAAAGACTGTTTATGAAATAAATGAACAATTACAACAAAAACTAGAGAATTTGGATCGATTAGAAGTAAAAATGAAAAAACTTGAACAAGAAAGTCATGAATTAAAACATCAAAATGAAACATTAAAAATGAAACATGATGAGACACAAACAGTACGTTTACAAATGGTTGAATTAGATAAAAAATATAAATTATTAGAAAAACTATTAGAAGATGAAACATTAAAACGTGTTAATTCTGAAAATAAATGTAAAACATTAGAGGAAACAATTCAATTTAAAGAATCAATGTATGATACAGAATTGAATCAAGTTCGACAACAACGACGTACAGAACATGATCGTATTGATGATAGTTTGAAACAAGAATATGATACACGCTTCTTTGAAGAATTAAAAAGTTTAAGAGATGAAACAGATCAACGTATACAAGAAATGCGTATTGATGTTGAACAAACATATCAAAAAAAGTTAATTGATTTAGATACAACACAAAAACGTTTATATGAGCAAATACAACAATATCGTCAAGATTTAGTTGATTCACGAACACGATCAGATGAATTAATGAAAGAACGTAATGATGTACAAGAAAAATTAAAACAATTTGAAGAACGTGCACGTGATACTGATCAGCGACTTCAACAACAACGTGAACGATATGAGATAATTTTGGTTGAACGTGATCAAGAAATTGAAAAATTAAAACAACAAGTACAAGACATGTTAGTTGAATATCAAGCATTGTTAGATTTAAAAATTGGTCTTGATCTTGAAATTGGAACTTATCGAAAATTATTAGAAGCTGAAGAAGAACGTTTAAATATATCATCATTATTAAAAAATAGTGATTCATCAACTGTAATGGTAAATGGTAATCATCATTTTGAAAATGGTGATAATGTTGATCAAGTTGCGACACCACAAATAAATCCGGTTAATGGTAGTGCAAGTCAAACAGCAATAATGATGAATGATGGTCATGTACCACGGAAACGAAAACGTCTTGCAAATGTAAACGACAATCATTTAGGAGAAGAATAAGAAATAAATAAAATAAACAACCACGAAACTTTTGTCAGATTTTTGTTTTTTCTTTGTACACTCGGTGAACAAATATTTCTTTTTGCAGATATTTTTTTGTTTATGTTTTTACATTGTGCTTGGATAATCTCTGATTATATTATCTCTTTTTTCTCTAAATATTGATAGGGTATAATAGTATTTTTGTTATCATTTACTTGTTACGTAGACATGTATCTACACAAAAAAAAAATTGTTAAAAGAGTAGATAAATACTTTATGTGCAATTCGTTCTTGTTGTATGTTTCAACCGGTGTTAGAAGTAATCAACCCGGTTACACTCTTTTTGTATGAAATTTCATTTCAGAAATATGTACAAAGCAAATTTTTTTCTTTATTTGTTTGTTTCTGTTCTTTATGTTGTGAGTAAGTGTGTTGCCAAGCTGGACCAGGCAAAACAAAAAGATCATGAATTGAAAGTGTTTCTATACATGTTTGTTTGTATGTAGATCTCGTTTTTCTTATTTACTGTTTTATCCTTGCTGAATAACATTTTGATAGTCTGTTAATAGTTCAGATAAAAATCAGATTAGAAAAATATATCACAAAACTTGAAACAATTTGCGAATGGGTGATGATACGGCACAAAGTCTTTCACTATCTAACATATAGCAACTAGTTTCGCTCTCTAGAAAAGTTAAAAGATACTAAAACAGTTATAAACAAAATCAACTCTTTGAGGTTGTCAGAAATATTTTGATTCCATAATTTAACGTGCGTACGATTGTAGTTTGGATGCTTGTGAATTATTGATAAGAATTAGGATATTTAAAATGCTCACCGAAGACCCAGACAAAACAAAAATGAACAAAAAATCACTTGTTGTACCGTTAGGCGTTTCATTTCAAATTAAAATCGACTTAAAGGTAAATTATCTAGCTGTGAAATAAAAAATATTAGCCAGGATTTAGTTGAGAGTCCGAATTCTTACATACTTTGAAAAAGAAGTGCCTTCCTATTATATTGAAATAAGTACACAATTCTATGTATACTTGTAAGCCGCGATACTTTACTTACTGCTACGACGGCATGAAATGAAAACAGTGTTGTCGTTTTACACTAGTATGGCTGATATCCGTCAAGCCAACTGAGTTTTGCTCAGTTAAGCTTTGCCAGTGCTTTTGTTTTCTTCACGCTTTCAGACTTGACAGCAGCTGGCTTCAGGAAATTCAACGTTGCAAACAAATAACTTACTGGTATATTACGATTAGTTCTGATTGTGTTGTTTACTTGATTTTAGACTGGAACATAAAAAAGAATGTCGGCACTTTTGTATACATTTGCTATATTCGACAATCTTACTCTACTCTTTCTCAATGTTTACAATGTATCCTTTTATTATAAATACTGAGTTTTGATCAAATCTCGGCGAAAGGAGATGAATAGTTTAGAATTTTCTATCATTCTTCGTATTTAGCGTTTTCTTAACCTATTATTCTATTAGATAATCGTATTGTCGGATCTTGAATCCGATCTTATGAATGTTCGTCAATGTTGCGAAAAATTAAATCGGGTACGTTTATTAATGACACATGAAACATATTTTCTAGTTTATGCATCTTCCATGCACTTTAGCTGTTTTTACCTGAAGCAGGTTTACATTTATTATTGACCATTTTATTCCTATTCAATGGAAATTGGTTTGTTTTCTTGTTAAATGTTCCAATGGATTTGTGGTCTATTTACAAGTAAGTTGTCTAGTTGAACTTTATTCTTTGAATAATCCATGTGTACTCTTTTAGATATTTTATGCGGCAAAAATCGCCAGGTCAACTAGGCTATTATGATCCGTTGGAAATAAATAACAATAGAAAGATAAAATCGCATATGCAAGTAAGTATTGTAGAAAAGATAATTTTTTATAAACCACCATTATCATTATGAAAAATATAGCTATTTTCTGTTGGAGACGTTTTGTCTTTATTTAAAAGATATCAGCAGTCGAATGTGACAATCAGTAGTTGATCGACCTATTGATTGTCACATTCGACTGCTGATATCTTTTAAATAAAGACAAAACGTCTCCAACAGAAAATAGCTATATTTTTCATAATGATAATGGTGGTTTATATCTTATTATCTATTTTAAAATTTCTCAACTTAAAAAATAATTCAATAGATAATTTTTTACTAATATTATGTGTTTGTTTAGGAACTTCTTGTACGTTTGGCATTTTATTTGATAGGGTTTTTTGTTTATCTATTTTTGTAAGTGTGCTGGTCTTTTGGTATCGTTGATTGCAGTTGCAATGTTGTTTTTATCTTTTGTATAGGTTAATTCATGCTCTTATTTGAATAATTATGTATGAATGGATAATTGATATTAGGAGAAAATATTATGAACAAGCAACCAAGATTTACTCGCATTAAATAGCCGTTTATCCAATTACAAGCATGACAAAGACATATATGATAGTTTTTCTATGTTAATCGTTGAAATACATAAGAAGTCTGATAACTACATTTTGTCTCTTTCATATTTCTGTAAATGAGCATTTACTGAGGCGAAGATAAAATTCACTATATATTGTTTTAGTTTAAAAAGAGTGTATTTTAAGACTTTTTTTTATAAAACAGATAGCGTTAGTATGACTTACTCTTGCTTGCATTTAATGTTTTTCTTCAGGTTACCATGGCTAAACTTTGTCGGACCGTAACTTCGTATTTTGTGCATAATTTCTTTTTGGCTATTATTGCTCAATGTCAACTAACTGTTCATCTGCTTTTCACGTTTATGTAAATCAAGTATACATTATTCTGGTCCTTGTTGAACAACTTATTACTCAAGTTTGTTAACGTAAAGCTTTTGTAATTTTTATATTATTAGTGGTATGAAAATAATAATCCAGTTACTAGAACATCTTACATGTGTTAATTGAAACTATCTTAGCAATTTAGCTTTCATTGAACTGTTCAGGATTAAAAACTACGGAAAGAGAGGGATTTTTAAAAACATAAATAGAAAAATTGTGAAAAATGAATATTTTTATTTATTTTTGAGAGGGTATAATACTCATGGAGAACAATTACAAGCAGAAAGATACTCAAACAAGATACTGATTACGGAGAAAGAAGAGAGATTGAGAGCAGAAACGAAACACTTAAAGCAAAAAAATACAATAAAGAAAGTGTGATATACATGTTCTTTCAGCAATGTTTTTAAGCAATATATTATTTTCAGTATGTGCAACAATCACCGGTAAACAATTCTAGTCTTTGAAGATATTGGGAAGAAAAGAACATCTGACTTTGTTTTTACAATCCCATTAATGAAAATTCATTAGTTCTTTATGTTAAAAGTAGTCTAACTCGCTCGTGAAATGATGTTGCGTCTTTTATAATAAAATCAGTGAAAATTGTTTCATAGACCATAACAACACTAGTATACCTTACAAAAAGCAATGTTTGTATAAAACAAATCAAAGTATAACATGATAAAATGAAATGAATCATACACTTAAGGGTCCCTCCCCTCAGAAATTATCTCCGGCACCGTACATCCGATCTTGACGAAACTTTCCGTAAATATTCGGCACAATGAGTTACGGGAATGAAAAGATTTTTTTTGTTTCCAAGTCTTACGGTTTAGGAGTTTTCCAGAGATCAAGGTCCAAAAAGAACCCTGAACGGCGTCCCAAGATTTTTTAATATACTTCAAGCTGAAGAGTTCGGGTTTGTTTTATTTTAAACTAGACACCTA